TTACCTTGAGTAACTCCTTGGGAGATTGCTCTTAGTTCCAGTGTTGACGAAACACTTGGCGTAGAATTCATGTTTGCTTATAAGGTGTTATTATCGAATGGAAGATAAAGTAACATGAAGCGGGTTTTTTTTTTACCTTCAGGCAAAGTATGTTGGCAGGTGAGGCTGCTTGAACCGACGTATCCGGTTCCACAGACACATTAGGTTGTCTGCGTCTTTTTTCTGTATTTCCAATAATCCGACCTCCCTGTATTTTCATTTCGACGTAAAACAGTAAAATGTTTTCCTGTCTCAATATTCCAGATCATAATAGTGAGTGAGTGAGTGAGTTTAGTTTTACGCCGCACTCAGCAATATTCCAGCTATATGGTGGCAGTCTGTAAATAATCGAGTCTGGACCAGACAATCCAGTGATCAACAGCATGAGGATCGATCTGCATGCACTATTGCGAACCGATGACATGTGTCAACCAAGTCAGCGAACCTGACCACCCGATCCTGTTAGTCGCCTCTTACGACAAGCATGGGTTACTGAAGGCTCATTCTAACCCGGACCTTCACGGGCCCCGAGCATAATAGGTTTCGTAGGTTTCCCTCAACGACCCTGCCGGTGACCAAGCGTCAGGTAATCATGGTAATGGAGTAACGCAGTTACAATCGTCTTAGCGCTAAAATCTCTTTGTGCAATTGGGCCCAGGGTTGTTTTCTCATGAGAGCGTTACGTAACTGAAGTAATGCATTATACACAGAGACACCCAGACAAAGATAACGTCATGATAACATGATGACTACCTTCCCTAGCAACCGTAACATGCTCCCTTTCACTCTCTTCGCATTTACTCATACAATGATTGGAGAGACCCACTGGCAATCGCTGCAAGACTTCTTCACGATAATCTCAACAGGACACGTCTGGTCGCCTGATATCAGGTGATCGTCCCGCGCTTGAGAAGCGGGCTGGCCAGATACACCATGTGTCGCAATTCACACCAGTGACACACCATCCGGCGTGTGAAAGTAGGCTTTCCTTGTACCTTTGTATCGACCCCAGCCTCCTTCACGACCTCTCGAGACGGACATGTACAGTCCGTTTGGCTCAAAAGCGGACCGATGAATTGCAATCTAACTCGAGAAGTAATAAACTATCATTAAAATATTGACACAGTTCACTGTTTGTTACGAGAGAGGAGTGCAGAGAGAGGGACAGCCAGGTGTTCGAGAAGCACGTTCACAGACAAAGTTATTTATTCATTAACCTGTGCTGTGCCGTCTCCATCCGTTCTCGAACACCTGGTCGTCCCTTTCTCTGCACTCCTCCCTCGTAACAATCAGTGAACTGTGTCAATATTTTAATGATAGATTGTTAAACAACTTCTTTATTTTTAGGACAAAAATTCTGCAAAAAACTCACAGAGTGGGTATGATGTTTTGATTATGATCAGCGTTTCATTGAGTATTTTATGTTTATTTGTTTTTGAGTTTGATTGCAATTCAACGGTCCGCTTTTGAGCCAAACGGACTATACAGATTATATAAGCTGAGCATGAACGATAAAAATAGCAAATGTATATTAATTACTAATAAAGGTATGCTACTTTATGGATGACAACTTCTTTATTATATACCATTTAAAAAAAGTAGGGGATATTCCATTTTGCGAGCATACCACTAGCTAATGCATAGGAGAAAAAAGTAATATATATCCATACAGATGAAACATTTCCAAAGGAATGGAATAAATTATCACATTTTCCCTTAATTTCTCTTCATCATCTGTTTCCTCCTTGGCTTCATCATTTGCATTTTAGCAATCTTGGAAATCCAGTATCCCCTACTTATTTTAATGGTATATTATATGCGACGTTTCGGTAGAGATTCTTCTATCGTTGTTCCCACTTGCTTACCAACGGTATAAGAATCTATACCGAAACGTCATATCATAATATGAAAAAGAAGTTGTTATCCACAAACGCATCGTACCTTTCATATGCTTTATCAACTTCTAAAATGCCATTCAGACAGAGCAACTGTCTATTGCAAGCTCTGGTTCCTCTTTCCCATCAACCAGGGGCCTGTTTCACAAAGCTTTCTTAGCGCTGACTGTGGTAATTAACTCTATGTTAAAGTATGGGAGCTACGGTAGTCGTAGCGCTGTGACCACTTTGTGATCAATGTATGCACTAACCATGTATACAAATATTATATAGCTCTTGAAAACCTCACCATGCTACATTGTAGCCTTGAGTGAATAAAGTAAGTGAAAAGCGGGTCTGGGCGTTATTATGGCCATCTTCTGTCTATGTTAGTAGAGAAACAATTAATTGTTGTTTAACGACTTACTTAAATGTTTTAGGTCACAACGGTCTGTAGATCAACGAGACAGGGCCCCGTTCCTCAAAGCGATCGTAGCACTACGACAGTCGTAAGTTTATGTTAAAGTATGGGAGTTACGATCACCTTAGCGCTACGATCGCTTTGAGGAACTGGGCCCTGGACAGTGTGGTTGCTGATTAGTATGGTGGCTGATTAGGGCCATCGCTTTCTCGCCTTAAAATTCGGAGGCGAGAAACCGAGAAAGCGATATCACGAGACAAGAAAGCGATAACACGAGACGAGAAAGCGATAGCACTAGACGAGAAAGCGATAACGCGAGACGAGAAAGCGATAACGCGAGACGAGAAAGCGATAGCACGAGACGAGAAAGCGATAACGCGAAACGAGAAAGCAATAACGTGAGACGAGAAAGCGATAACACGAGACGAGAAAGCGATAACGCGAGACGAGAAAGCGATAGCACCATAGGACCTGGGTTTATATCATGGGAAACCAGTGACGATACGGGTTAGAACTGGTCTTCTTCAACCCATACATGCTTGTGTGGTAATGGGTGATTGACGGGATCAGTAGGTCGGGCTCGCTGACTTAGCTGGTGCATGCCATCACCGGTTGCCCCTGTTTTCAATCACTGGATTGTCTGATCCAGACTCGATTATTTCCAGACCGCCGCCATATATACGTTGATGGAATCAGAGACGGTCTCTGGTGGAACACTGACAACAAACTAACCAATGGGTGAGTGATGGAATCAGAGACGATCTCTGGTGGAACACTGACAACAAACTAACCAATGAGTGAGTGATGGAATCAGAGACGATCTCTGGTGGAACACTGATAACAAACTAACCAATGGGTGAGTGAGTAGTTTGTGGTTTTCACACATTGCACCCACGTGGGGAATCGAACCCAGGTCTTCGGCGTGACGAGCGAAAGCTTTAACCACTAGGCTACCCCACTGCCCCCACAAACTAACCACAAAGATATAATCAGTAACGACCTGTAACAAGCGATCCAATTATTCACCGACCCGTAAAGATCCGGGGTACAATAGGTCTTCAGCAACCCATGCTTGCCACAAAAGGCGACAATGCTTGTCGTAAGAGGCGACTAACGGGATCGGGTGGTAGGCTCGCCGACTTGGTTGACACATGTCATCGGTTCCCAATTGCGCAGATCGATATTCATGCTGTTGATCACTGGATTGTCTGGTCCAGACTCGATTATTTACAGACCGCCGCCATATAGCTGGAATATTGCTGAGTGTGGCGTAAAACTAAGCTCACTCAATTATTCACCAAGGAGGATGATATTCCTCAGCTGCCACCATGGTTGCTCGAACTTCCGTCAGTTTATCTTGATGTACTGGAACAGGTGAATACATCGGAGCCATCACCTCGTGTTAAAGCCATAGCGGAGGAACATATCTGAAGTTTACATAGGATAAATGATATGCAGGATTTACACAGATGGATCTGAGTGGCCAGTGTCCGAAGGTGTTAGTGCAGGTGTCCTCACTACTAATGACAAAAGAGAAATGTATACATGATTAGCTGATCACTTGTCATTATTTTCTGCTGAACTTGTAGCAGTCATTGAAGCTTTGCGTTGGATTCATTATTAAAGACCTGTAGCAGCGGTCGTTTTTAGTGATTCTGTCAGTGCCTTACAATTCGGGCAGGTTCTTTCTCTACAAGACAGGACTTAATCAACATTTTACTCAGCCTTTTTAATGAGTGAAGTAAAGATATTTTACATGTTGAATTTTCAAGGATGCCAGCTCATGTTGGAATACTTGAAATGAGAAGCCTGATAAATTGGCAAAAGGTGCATTAGACTTTGTTGAATCAGAACAGGACAATACAGTATTGCCTTCTCCTACAGAATTATGCACCGTCAGCACAATCCATGCTCAAACAAAATGACAATAGAGATGGCGCTCCTCTTTGAAAGGACGCCATCTCTATGACATTGAACCTTTGTTACTAAATTACATTTATCTCGAAACAATTGGAGAGAAGAGGTTATTTCAACCAAACTTCGTCTTGGGCATTGTGATCTTGGTGCGTGTCTCAGTATAATGAATAACGACATTTCTGTGTGTAATCAACTACGTGATGTTGCTCATTATTTACTGCGTTGCCAAACATATGTAAATCAACGTAAGACAATGGCGGAATCTCTCACAGCTCTCAATATTGACATCTCATTGGCTGGACTACATGTTATAGGTTCCAGGAATATCATTCGCCATGAAGTTCTGAATTGTATTCTTGCTTATATTAAAGCATGTGGCAGGTTTGCTACTTTCTGAAATGTTAGAAACTTAGCAAATCCTTATGATGGGAAGGTGTAAATCAGCCTAGTTGCCCGAAAACCTATTATACTTTTAATGATCAATCAATCAACCTAGGAGGAAAAACGATATGGTAAACGAATATGCATGCTAATCAACCTTACAAAAAAGTGAAGGCAACAAAGTGACGTCATAATTATGACGTCATGTGGCGTCATTTATTTACACGGACTTGTGACTATTTTCTTTCCATGAGCCAAAGAACAAAACCAACATCAAGATTTCATTTCTCAAGTTTTATTCCAAAAATATACTTTGACATTATAACCATGTAAAGTAATGTAAAACGAAAGAAACTTATTGTCGATACTAGCATTACTACCTACACTGTTTTCGGATTATCATTTTAAATTAGTTAATCTAATATAGATCTATGTGTAAAATATTCTCTCATAATGTATACATATTGTTGCAAAATATAATGTTCTATTTCATTTGTATTCCTCAAAGCGATATTCTTACTACGACAGGGTGTTCAATAATTGTTTAAAAATATACATAAACTAACTTCTTGTACATTTGAATTACTTACATTGTAATTACTCTGTGGGGGATTTTTACCGCAAGTAGATAGCATACTCAACAAATGATTTCGCAAATATTTGTATTCTTTACACTGATATTATCTCAAAAAGGACAAAAATGTGTGAGCATATATACTTTTTAAACAACATTTTTTTCATTGTTTAATGCATACTTCATTGACATTTAAAACAAATTAAACAAAGGAATAAATGCAGTACAGTTCAAAAGGTTGTGCATGAGTCCAAATCTTAAGCTTCGCTGGCACCAAGGGTACAGCATGATATTCCAAGTGCTGCGTGTGTGAGCCAGTCTGTTCCTTCCAGCCAATCACAGGTTTCAACATCAAATACCTCCACGTCAGCCAGTGCGTGGTTGTCGGATGACGTCACTCCCCCAACGATGTATATCTGGTTGCCTGAAATTAAACAAACGTTGAAAGCATCTCTAGTGATTCAGTGTATACTTCGTAAGACTCTTTAAACACGACACTGAGTTAGTGAGTGAGTTTAGGTTTACGCCGCTTTAGCAATATTCCAGCAATATCACGGCAGGGGACACCAGAAATGGTCTTCACACACTATACCCATGTGTGGAATCAAACCCGGGTCTTCGGCGTGACGAGCGAACGCTTTTATCACTAGGCTAACCCACCTCCCCCACACAGAACTAGGACGATGTCAAATAACCGGCAAATGAACCATTTCGCAATCGGTAAAGAAAGATCAGCTAGTTTAACCGTACATGTATTGATAATCGATCGCGTGGGTGGTTTTGGTTTTAATGATGTCCTAGACAATAATTGAGGAACCAGTGAAGATTCGTGTCAAGAGTTGGTCTTCAGCAATCCATGCTTGTAAGAGTTGACTACCGGGTCGGGTTGTCAGACTCGCTGACTTGGTTGACACGTCATCGTATCCCAATTGCGTAGATGGACGCTCATGATGTTGACCACTCGGTTGTTTGGTTCAGATTCGATTATTTACAGACCGCCGTCATACAGCTGGAATACTGCTGATTGCGGCGTTAAACAACAAACAATTGTAATTATAGCGTGTGAAGAGTGTTTTTGCCCCTGAAACAGCAAATCCATAGTTTGATGAGCCAGGCTCTGAAATAACGTGAACAGTTATATACTGAGAGTATACCCCTGAACACACCACCGACACACACCAGTGTGACCTAGTTCTACCCCTACCCCCAACACACCCGTCAGTTTGTAAACAAAGCCTGATGAAAGAGCAATTTTCGCGGACATGCTAACACTTACGATTTGACATATTGTCCATCATACCATGAGAGCAATAGCCGATAACGCAAGGTCACGGAGACAGGAGGTTATCGTATAAGGGATCGGCTTGTGATTAAACCAACACGATGAACTAAGGCAATATGAGTTGGGTAATTTCCTACACCCTTTGCAAATAAGTCCTGTATTTTCACATTTCGCAATAACAAAGTCTATATTTATATCGGGGTGACATCGTTGGCTTGTTATAGGCAGACAGACAGACAGACAGAAATAGTTTATTAAAGTGTCACAAGTTAGGAATACAATATAGAATCATGATTATAGCATAAGTAAAAAATTCTCAACAACCAGCCATTTTTTGAGACACTATCTTAAAATCACAGAAATAATTGACGTTTAAAATACATGGTTCTAATTACAGAACAAATACATTTAATATTTTTGGGGTTATTTTCAGTTAACAATTTGATAAAAAGATCTATAGGCCCCTGTGCATTGTAAAGGTTAAGGTTAAGGTTATAACGCAGGTCATGGTAACATTTACATTCAGAGGTAAAATGAGTAAAGCTCAAGAGTAAAGCTTCAATTTGTTACTTTGTAAAACAGCATTTATGTGTATGTATTCCTAGCTATATGAACAACAATAAACAAACGATGACGATTATAATGTATCACTGTGGGAAGGCATATTTTAGAAATATTTACATCATATGGATCTGCAACAACGTTCATAGATATTGAATATATTCAAATGGAGGAGTCGCAGCGCAAAGACAGTCGGAAACCAGTCTGTGTCGGATAACTCATTGACAAGGCTCGAGGTAGATGACGGATCATGGCTTCGTGCGAAAAAATACCAACATGATTCGTGTCTCTGGTACAACACACGGTCACAACCTGACATAGCGTCAGCCAGGACAACAGTTAAATGTGCTTTCCTGGGGACCTTTCTCCATCAAGAGTACCCGTGGTCTTCAGCAACCCATGCTTGTTGTCCGAGGCGACTAACGGGATAGACGGTCAGGCTCGCTGACTTGGTTGACACATGTCATCGTATTCCAGTTGCGTAGATCGATGCTCATGCTATAGATCGCATTACTGTCTGTACCAGACTCGGTTATCTACAGACCGCCGCCATGTATCTGGAATATTGCTGAGTGAGGCGTAACTCATCATGAACTTGTATGACTGAGTTTGGTTTTACGCCGCTTTTAGCAATATTCCAGCAACATCACGGCGGGGGACACCAGAAATGGACTTCACACATTGTACCCATGTGGGGATTCGAACCCGGGTCTTCTAGGCTACCCCACCGCCCTCATCATGAACTTGTAACATGTCAGTATGTCCATTTAACCTTCAACCTCTAAGCGTTAAACACCAATCACTTGCTGGGTAATTCTGTGAAAATATTGATTGGATCAATGAAACTTCGAGTATGAAATGAATTTGAAACCATATTGAACCTTTGGTACCGATCAGCATTCTGCTGCATTTGAAAACCTTGGATTTTTCTAAAAGTCTTTTTTTTCTCCTAAATCATATTTTTTGAAACATAAAAACAGTTAAACGTATTCTTTAAGTGTGGACTAGGCGCCGGTATATAATGGCGTTGAATTGATATTTTCAATCGAATCTCAAAGATATAAAACTAACTGAGACCTCATATTGATTTATGAAAACATATCCACAACATAGAACCACAAGTAAAGGTCTGCAGTTTTTTGTGACGTCAAAATATTACCGTCTTATATTTTTGTGCTCAGTAAGTTTGTTTCATTATGTTGTAACAGCAAGCACCTGATCGTGAATCAGTACGGTTATACAACAGAACGCTCAGTATTCGCGGCCGAAGAATTGGAGGGCTGTCAGATAGCGGTATATAGGTCGGCGCAGGCTGCTGTCGCTGTTTAACGACACAATGGGCTTATCGGCAGCATGTCCTTGGGGCGACGAGTGGAAATATCCAGATATTGGTCAGGTAGAAGACTGTGCACACAAATCAACATCCTGGGATTACCACGACAAACATACATATCCTAATGAATTAACAAGCATTGTCACTAAGGTGACATAATCCCCCGCCGCAAATTATCAAATCAAACTTATAAAGTAATGAAAGTTTAAGATGAAGTTAAATGTCAACAAAAACATGACTAATCAACCTCTCTTGATATCTGGCTCTTTAGTTGTTCAAACACACACATATTTTCAAGACTGACTTTGACCTTGACATGAATGTCATAGTGTATGAAATATGCAAAACTAGTACTAAAGAAATTGCTTATTGAAAAACATTCAAGAGAAGTCTTAAAAGTCTATGAAGAAAATCCAGTGAACCGTTCTTAAAATATCTTGCTGACAATTCAGGTTAACATGCTGAAATCTTCAAAGTGTCGTCGTGACCCTAAAAATTATGTGAAGGTCACCAAAATTGACTGGGCCCTGGGCCTTCCCTAGATGAAGCTTGGTGTCAAATATGAAGAAAATCCAGTGAATATTTTTTGCGATATCTTGCTGACTATCTTAACATGCAATTTAACATGCTGAAATCTTCAAAGTGTCTCTGTGACCTTGAAAATTAAGTGAAGGTCACCAAAATCGACTGGGCCCTGCGCCTTCCCTGGATAAAGCTTGGTATTGAATATGAAGAAAATCCAGTGAACGGTTCTTGATATAGCTTAACATGCAGGTAAAATGTTAAAGTCCCCTTGTGACCTTGAAATGAAGGTCAAGGTCACCAAACCTGAGTTGGACCTTTCTTATACTGTGATGAAACTAGGTACCAAATATGAAAAGAATCTAGTGAACGGTTCTTAAGATATTCCAATTCGTACGTACGGACGTTACGTTGACGGATATCGAAACGTAACTGAGCCCTAGTTCCACAAATATTCGTTTCACGGATGTTATCCATTTTCATGTTCCCATAAAATCATCATTAGAAAGTAATTGATACGTAATGAAGGATAATCTTGATGTTTCCCCGTCAGAAGTGACGTAAAGTATTTCAGAAAACGAATATGAATAGTTTCTGTGATTGAACGATTTTTGGATTCCCATTGTTTGCTACCGTAAAGAGTGAGTGAGTTTAGTTTTACGCCGCTTTAGCAATATTCCAGCAATATCACGGCGGGGGACACCAGAAATGGGCTTCACGTGTTGTACCCATATGAGGAATCGAACCCTGGTCTTTGGCGTGACGAGCGAAGGCTTTACCACTAGGCTACCCCACCACCCTTGCTATCGTAAAGAAGTGGTACAACCATGGCCTCTGAACCACTTGATACACGTAATTTCCGCCCTTGGCCTAGGATAAAATGCATTGCTCTTGTGGCTTATTCTGATGAACCTTGCTTCGTACTGGTAAAGTTGATATTTGTGCAAGATAACACCAAGGTATTAGGATTTCACATTTCCTAAATAGAGGATACTAAACGACCTTCAGTGTAATACCATTTTTATTAAACGAGTTAATGATTTGGTATCAACGAGCGAAATCGAGTTTGATACTAAACCTTTCACGAGTTGTATCAAAATGGTATTTCACGGAATAGAGTTTAGTATTCTGTTTATTACTGTCCAACATAAATTGATAGAAACTGTAATTACTCTCAGCTTTCCGCGAGTCAAACAAGGTCTAATACTACTGTGACAGAAGGATTAGCATCGTGACGTCATAACTGCAAACCAGTATGACGTCATACGTACGGCGTCACGCGATGTTATTACACAATGTGTAAACATGTAACATGGGGCGCGTTGTTCAGCAAAAGTTTGCAAGCTTCGCTGCGCTACGCAGCCTGCTTTCCCGTGCAACGGACTGCTGTGTGAGCGCTTCATTCAATATGGCGTCGTCCAATATAAACACATCACCGATACTAGCCACACTTTTGGCACACGAAGCTGTAGAAGATATTCCATGCAATGATTTTTAATTGTATGCGCAACATTAAAAACTTGTCCCTATTGGTCACAGAAGAGCAGACAAGTTTTCTCTGTTACCTTGCTGAATGACATGCCGTGACGCCATTTTGAATGTCTCTCGCTTACGCAGGAAGCACCTCTCTCAGTCGCTGCACGCCGAAGCGCTGCGATGCATGCAGCGAGGCGTTGTTCAGCCAATAGAAGCGCAGCGCTGCACAGCGTATCGGCTAAACAACGCG